TGTGGCCTTTTTGACCTGCAGCAGGATTAAAAGAAAATAATGACAGGAAGGCTCAGAGCATTTCTTAACGAGACACTCCCCAATCAGCGTCTCTGTGGACTGCTGTCTTGTCACCAGTAAGACTGGTCACACCTTCAAACAAATCTCATCTGGATCTCTCACTCAGTATTGGCAAAGGGAGTGGATCCTCCATGCACTAATGGGGAGGGGTGAGAGAGAGACACACACACACACACAGAGGTGCTCAGGCTTCCTACTGGTGGGCTGTGGTTCACCTACCCCTGATTGGCAGGGCAGGGTATGCATTGTCCCCGATTGGCAGAGGAGTGGATCTGTAGCTCATGATTGGCAGGGGAGTTGGATCCATTGTTTCTGATTGGCAGGGGAGTGATTCCACCTCTCACTTTGGTGGCTGGGTGGATCATCCTCCCCTCGGCGGCTAGAGGTTGACTGTGCCACTGGAGTGGATCTATAGATACGGTACTGAATCTACCCGTAACTGTTAGGGCTGGAGTGGATCCTCCACTTTGACAATGTGGGGGAACGGGTGGATCTCCCACTTGGCATTTGACTGGGGACTGGAATCTCACATTGGATTACCAGAGTCCTGTTGATGAGGTGTAGATCACCCGTTCCCTCTTCCTGTGGGTGCCCCAGTCCCAATCCTCAGGGAGTCGATCTCCCTTGACCTTGTGGGCTGTGGGTGGATCTCCGTCGTTTGTTGCCGACGGAGCGGATCCCCGCGATTCCGGTGCGGCAGTGAATCCACTAGTTGTTGCTGGCAACAGCTCGCCCGCATGAAAGGCAGTAGATCACCCGCCGCGCGCAAGGCCAGGGCCTCTCTCGCTTCCTATTGGCTGAGGCCATGCCATCGTCAGACGCCGTGATCTCGCGCTCGGAGTCTCGCGAGATCCAGATCACAAACAGTGGATCGCCGTGTTCCAGAGGATCCCCGGAGAGAGTGAGTGTGATAGGGAGAGAAAGAGAGAGAGTGTGTGTGTGTGAGAGAGAGAGAGGGAAAGAGAAAAGGAGAGGGAGAGGGAAAGAGAAAAGGAGAAGGAGAGAGGGAGAGGGAAAGAGAAAAGTAGAAGGAGAGAGGGAAAGAGAAAAGGAGAGAGGGAGAGGGGAAAAGAGAAAAGGAGAGGGGGAGGGGAAAAGAGAAAAGGAGAGGGGGAGGGGAAAAGAGAAAAGGAGAAGGAGAGAGGGAGGGGAAAAGGAGGAGAGAGGGAGCGGAGAAGAGAAAAGGAGAAGGAGAGAGGGAGAGGGAAAGAAAAAGGAGAGGGGGAAAGAGAAAAGGAGAAGGCGAGAAACGGGGAAAGAGAAAAGGAGAAGGCGAGAGGGAAGGTGTGTGACAGAGAGAGAGATGGGGGAAGGAGAGAGGAAAAGACAAGGAGAAAGAAAGAGGGGGAGAGAGAGAGTGTGACAGTAGGGGAGAGACAGGAGGTAGGAGAGAGGGAAAGAGAGATTGTGCAAGAGAGAGGAGTTAGGGAGGGAGTGTGTGTGGGCATTGTGGAGAGAGAGAGACAGTGAGTGACTGTGAGACAGAGAAAGTATGTGAGGGAGAGGGGTGAGAGTTTTTGAGGGAAAGAGAGAGGTAGGAGGGGACAGTGAGAGGAAGAGAGGGAAGAAACAGAGAGAGAGAAAGGGGACAGGGAGATGAGAGGAGAGGAGAGAAAGAGGGAGACAGAGGCTGTGGAGAGTCACATACAAACAGACAGCAAAAGATAGAGCTAGGGAGAGGGCTGTGAGGGTGAGCGAATATTCAGTGGGATGGGAGTTATACTGACAGGGAGAGGGCAGTGAGGGTGAACGAATATTCAGTGGGATGGGAGTTATACTGACAGGGAGAGGGCAGTGAGGGTGAACGAATACTCAGTGGGATGGGAGTTATACTGACAGGGAGAGGGCGGTGAGGGTGAACGAATATTCAGTGGGATGAGAGTTATACTGACAGGGAGAGGGCGGTGAGGGTGAACGAATATTCAGTGGGATGGGAGTTATACTGACAGGGAGAGGGCGGTGAGGGTGAACGAATATTCAGTGGGATGGGAGTTATACTGACAGGGAGAGGGCGGTGAGGGTGAACGAATATTCAATGGGATGGGAGTTATACTGACAGAGAGAGGGCGGTGAGGGTGAGCGAATATTCAGTGGGATGGGAGTTATACTGACAGGGAGAGGCCGGTGA